TGTGACCTAATCTGCATGGATTGACTTATTCATCTAGAATAAATATGTCAATGGGCCATTGAGAGATTTCTAGTCAACAGGGAAGTGAAACCTGTAGCAGTTAAGTTTGTATGTGTCAGATGGAGAGGACAGTCACAAGACCTCCTGAAAAGCAGATGGACCTCATGCAGCAAGGATATCATGAATATCTCTGGGGGAAAAAAAGATAGTTGGAGTGTATGAAGAAAGACCACCAACTTTTCCTTTGAACTTCTTAACAATAGGAACAATACCTCCATTAAAAAGAGAGCATTTGTGTTATTCACATCCACCTGTAATAAATAGTATACCAAATCCAATTATTAGTATAGTGGATCAACTCTTATACAAGATTCTACGGCAGCGTTTCTCAACGTTCATGTGACGGCGACCCCCGTCACACGAACGTGCTGAGCGACCCATAGGTTGAGAACCGCTGTTCTACGGGCTCTCAAATTATAATTTTTCATACCACACTGTGAGAAGTAGCTACAATAATAATTTATTCCACAAAAAAGTATTGAGGCATTACCAATTTCTAAATATTCTAAAGCTATCAATCTATCTATAATTATTTTATCTTCTACCCAACTAAAAAGTTAGTATTTTTCCTTCATGAGTTTCATGTAACTAAAGTATAGCTATATTGATATAGTTAGCACATACTTAACTATTTTGCATATAACTTGAAAGCGAGAGAGAAATGTCTAGTTTCACAAAGATAAAAACAATTATTTCCCTGGAACAGTAGATTACAGAGGACTAGGAAATGAAACCTTTCAAAGAAACAAGACTAAATTTCAAACTGTACTAAAAAAAATCCCTTGCTGACCCATGCGGAAATTAGCACTTTCCAGTTTTAAGTATTGCTGACAGTGAATTAAATCAACTAAAGGAATAACAAAATCCTTTCACCATCACTATAAACTGTGATTAGTTTTATGGTGGGCTGCTTTAAGAATTGTGTGCAAAAAAGTTTGGGCTAGACCTCATTTTATTGCTCTCCAAAATGAGTTCCAGCAGGTTTAAGCCAACAATAATGAGCCAAGGTGGCGCAGCAGTTAGAATGCAGTACTGCAGGCCACTTTAGCTGACTGTGTTCAGCAGGTCAGCGGTTCAAATCCCACCGGCTCAAGGTTGACTCAGCCTTCCATCCTTCCGGGGTAGGTAAAATGAGGACCCAGATTGTTGGGGGCAATGTAAATATATATATATACATTGCTTACTGGTGTACACCGCTTAGAGAGTGCTTGCACTTAAAGCGGTATATAAGTCTCATAAATAAATAAATAAATAAATAAACATGAGCTATCTTTCTGGATAGGTGGCAAGAAAAAAAATGAAACAATTTAAAGGATTTAGGCCAGGAAATATGAATGGCTGATCTCAGAACTAGTTATTCTCTTGAAATTCTGTTACTTCTATTAAAGCTAACTATGAGAAGAAATAATACATTTCAGTGGAAAGCAGAGGTGATCCTAATATAAGGAAAACTGCCTTAGATGGCAAATTTTCTTCTAGAAACAAACTTTTAACTATGTTCCCCACTGTCATTCCATACTTGACATGCAGTTCTCCTCTTAATTCCCTCCGTTGCTTCTATCTCCCTCTCCCCCACACCAATTACTTCAGAGTCTCATACCAATGTGCTATTGTCTCACTATTCTATCTCACCAGGAGTCAGTGGGATTTGGCATGTTGTACACACATTTTACAAGCAGATACAAGTCAATCTGGCTGCAGATATGCATTCTCACTGGGCAGTTTGTTTCTCCAGCTCAGAATGAGAAAATCAGAAGAGTCAAATGAAGTTCCTCCTAAAAGAGGGAGAGAGGATTGTTCCTCCAAGTAGCACTATTATTTTGAGTTCAGAATGACGTGATTGGACTGAATTGCCTTCCATAAAATCAAGATGCCCTTCCAAAATTATTAGCACTGAACTAGCTAAACATTTTGGCATTCTTCATACCCCAAATCAGCCATAAAAGGTCTTTACCAATTCTCTCCTGCAACTTCATACAAAAAATAGTGGACATACAAACACTCTTGGTGGTCTTGAGCCCTAGCAAAAACTGCCATCTGTGAAAAATATGCAAATATTTCATTTTTTTAAAAAAAACTTTTTTCCTGTAAACAGAAGGCATTGATGGGAAATCTGCCACCAAAGGAAGCAGATTTGAATTCATCCGTTCTACTCAGAACACTTTGTATTTCTTCAGAATATGAAAAAGGAGAAACTAGCAATACAGTCTATAAGTTTTGCAAAATTTGTTGATCCTACTTCGTTGTACCATAGTACATCTAAGATTAAATTATATTTCAAGATAGCATCAGTAATTAATTGACAAGTCTATATTGAAATAAATTAACTAGCTTGCAGGATCATCTTATTTTCAATAATGCCTATCCAAATGAGAAAGAGTCTCAGAAAGCAACTCCAATTTCTCTTTTGATAAATGAGGTTTTTGTGGGTGATCAAACCTATCAATAGCTTCCATTTTATAAATATGCAAGTTCTTCAACTGCAAGTGGTTAATGAGAATGTTCACAAAATACTCGAAGTTTCAAGTGTGTTCAGTAGCTTAAAACATTTGCCTACTTTTACCTAGTCTGTCCTTAGTCAAAACAAAACCTACAATTTTTCAATATAAGATAATAAAAATCCAAAGGTTTTGTTTTTTTATACACAAATTTGTTTGTGTATATGTGTATTATGGGATAAAATGAATATAAATCCCACAACTACCATGTAAGACTTACTTCGAGATGGTTGTGTATAGAATCAAATACTCATTCTATAGCTACTTCGTTGAGATACCCATATTGGCCATTTTTTCATTGTAACTCACAGTATACATAAACCTCCAACATATATAGGCTAAACGAAGGATAAAAGCCTACACAGTATTATTTAAGTTTGACATCTATGCACTCCCAGTTTCAGAGCTGATATGGGAACACAGAAATAAGGCATGATCCCATTCCTCCATTGTTTTTATACTCTGCATCTAGGACACCAACATAATCTCCATTATTGTGCATGCAACTTGCATTCATACCATGTTTTCTACTTGATTTTTTAAAACTGTGAGAAATGGTATGCTGCAAAGTAAAATGCCAAACTCTTATCTTAATGTTCAATAATGGTTTACAAGCTTTGTTATGAAAAAAAAAAAAAGATAGCTGGACCCAGCACTTTCTTTGGAAGTATACCCATTTGCACCAAAAGAAGACAAAAACAAGCAACAATAACGTCAGGTGGGAAGAGGGAATGACAGATAGCAATCTATTTCATGTATGTATTAAACTAGATAGGGTGGCCATTTTGTGAATGGACAAGCCTCCTTAGAAGTTATTTTGTGAGAGTGCCTATACATATTCTTAAAATCTCAATTGTGCCCACCAGGCTGGGTCTCCTTGGTACAGACCATCTTTCCTGAAAGTCATGATTCAGTAAGTTGCCATATTGTAATATTTCAAAAACAATCAATCTTAGTTTCTCTAAATTAGCAGTGTCACTAAAATGCAGAAAGCTAAAAATGTTTTCTTAATCCCAATTTATTGGAGTCAGCAAGCAACAAGATGAAACATTTCATGTTTTTGTTCATGCTGGATACTTTGTTAATACTGATAATCTTGTAAGAAACTTTCCATCAATCTTGAATTAATCAGGATTCAGAATCACCAACAATGCATCTTACATATATATTTTGCCTTTCTTCCATGAGGCCAAGACAACATACAGAGGTATCTCCATGACCTTCTCAAAGCAACCTTGCCAAGTAGGCTAAATTTAAAGTTAATGAAAGATCAAATTCATCCAGGGAGCTTTATAGCTATGTATTTGTATGGTTTTCTCACGTCATGGTCCCACATTCAAATTTATACACTACATTGGCTGCAAGTAAATTCAGATTACTTCTGATCTACTCTACTAAAAGAAAACTGGCCCAACCATAAAATATATTGCCATATCTAATTAAATTGTATCTCACTGCTCCAATGGAATTGTTGCCATTTAATTCCAATTCTGGATTCACTCTGTAAAACACAGTTTGATACTAAACATACACATTTGGATTTAATTTATCAGAAATTTTAAAATATATTAGTGGCAAACACAACATAACCATACCTAAGAGTACAAATACAAAATCAAAAGAAAACACATACATAACTGTTTGAAGTTACAATGGCACTTATAAAAGCAACTTATTACAACTTTTCATACTTACAACTGTTGCAGCATCCCCTTGATCACGCAATCAAAATTCTGATGCTTGGCTATTGGCTCATATTTATGGCAATGTCCCGGGGTCATGTGATCATCTTTTGTGACCTTCTGACAAGCAAATTCAATGGGGAAGCCAGAATTCACCTAACAACCGTGTTACTAACTTAAGTGCAGCGACCCAACGTAACAACTATCTCACATAGCAACAGAAATTTTGGGCACAATTGTGGTTGTAAGTCAAAGACCATCTCTATCCACTATTTGTTCAGAGAAATTTAGAACTCCCACAGAAAGTTTCCCACTAAGGCCAGCTTTTTACTAATGTGTCTTCTCAAAGAAGATAATATGGAGCCAAAACAAATGAAAATTGGTCTAACTCAGAATTACTAACTTTGAAGGGCAGTAATTTACAGCTGCTTTCCCACACATGCACTAACTTCAGAACATCTGCATTAAAGCCCCTCTGCTACTACTGAAGAGGACCCCCCATCTTTTTTAAAAAACAAACAAACAAAATTCTATTTGTTCTGAAGCTTTGGTAATTTATTATATGCCCAAAACGATCTTTGATCCTTACTTTTCACTTCCCCTGCACAGGATGAAGAACTTCATAAAGTATTTTAATGTGAAAACCCGGCTTTAGCACAACACATAGCATGTAGGCAGCAGCCTGGAATGCAGCTCTCAGCTGGGACTCCAAAGTCCACTAAGCACTTTTACAAGATGCCAAAGTGGCAATTTCACTCACCCCTAGCCATCTTGCTCCTTTGTTGGCGGCTTGTTGAATCTGTACTCTTTTGAGGGTGACATGGTAAACTGCTCCTTCCTCTATCTCTTCACCCCAGTCTTGGATTGAGCTCTGCCACAGGAAGAAAGGAAATGCTTGGATTTCTTACAATAATAATAGAAACAAGGACATTTTCCCTAGTTGTCTCGTGTTTAGGCCAGCCACTGCACAATTTGTTTCAAAGGAGACCTTGCAAAAGGATAACCGGCATACAAAATACCCAAATCCCCTCCAACTGCAAACTATTCAATGGAGAAAAAGCTAGAATACATAGCAAGATAACTGCATTTCCATGTAACTTCTCTGGCACCTTATCCAGAATTTATACATATTTCAAACAGTTCCACGGTACCATTTTTTAAGGAAATACCCCTCTGCATCTTGTCCCCAGTGTAACTATTATTGTTAGCATTTAAACTGCAGCAATAGCTGCACCTTCAAAAGGTACACAGGCATTTCAGACGGCAGTAAATATAGAAGAATTAGCTGAGTTTATTTCAGCCTTTTTAAAAAAAAAAAATCAGGGCATGAGAAGAAAATGAGATAAGGTTTAACAGAACCCCATTAAAGATTTCTTTTAAAGAAAATTATGCGTATCAGAAAGTTGAGGGGAGAAGCTCAGAAAACTGTAACATAACTATACTGGCTATGCAACTAGTTTAATCACTGCACTAAACAATTCTAAAATTCTAAAAGACACACACATATATAGGAAAACAACTCATTTTGATTGACCAAGGATTAAAGTATTTGAGATTTGTACAAAAGCTTAGCCCGTTCATTCCCCCCCTTCCCCTCCCAACCCCCGCCGTTCTTTCCCACACTAAGTGGGAGAATTAGATTGCAGGCGGCGGCGTTTCCAAACTCGAATTCACACTAAGTCGCAGTTTTTAAAAAGACGGCTTCAAAAAAAATCTTTTTCCTGGGAAGCATCAGATATTCACCAAAGCGGTTTCCTTTCGCAAAAAGTAAACCTTGGAGCCCCGAAGGAGGAATCTCTCTGCCTATGTGAGAAGCCTTTTAGAAACGCAAGGAAGCTTTTTTTTTTTTTTGGCTGCGATGGTGGTGGGGTTACCATTTTAGCTCTCCAAAGCAATTTCATCCTTGGGGTTCCCCTCAGCGCTCCGAAAGGGCATGGTGAGTCGTAAAGAGCCCGCTTTAAATAATCCTCAGGCAGGCACTTCTTCGCCTCGCTTGAAGGCAGCTCTCTCTCTCTCTCTCTCTCTCTCTCTCTCTCTCCCTTGCGCTCTTCTCTCAATTCATGACCACAAAGAGTGGCGAGTGGAGAGCAGGCAGAGCTGAAGACTCCTCCCTACACACAGACACAAGAGTGATGTAAGGCTTTCCTGTTTATGCTTGTGAACTCTTTCTAGGCTTCAAATGAAGCCAGCGTAAGCATCCTCCAATGAGCTCTGCGAACCCTCCCTGGCTGGGCAAACTTTCTGAAATTCGGTCTCTTACGTTCCCCGACAAACACAAGGTGCCGAAGGAGGCATCTCCTTTCCCCCCCCTCCTCCTCCTCTATTTTTCCTTAACCAAAAGCCACAAAGAGAGAGCCCAGGGGTGAAAGAAGAGGTTTAAATAAACTGCCATCGTCTGGCGCTAGCTAGAGTCCTCTCAGAATAGTTGCATGGAGTGAAATTTACAATGGGACGGACTCTCCTCCCACAAGGCATAGCTAAGTAGGCTCCGGTCAGAAATACACCAGCCTGGAGCTTTTCCAATGGCTCAATCTGCCAGGCGGGAATTGGATTATGGGAATTGAAGAATTAAAGGACTGGTGGACACCAAACTAGGGAATGCTGATTCAGGAGAGTCAATGTAAGCCTGTTAGCCTGGAGAATGAACTCTGCCATCTGAAAAATTCTTGTTAGCCTGCTCTTGTTAGTTTACTCAAGGTAGACAAGATTAACAGTAGGCTTTAGAGTTCTGTGGATTACTTCTTCCAATCCAAATGGGTAGTAATCTCATCTCCACCCGGAAAATAAAAAGTAACCTAAGGGGGGGGGGGGGAATATCACTGATCCCGATGAAAGTGTATAGTTTGCACTCTATAGAATAGAGTGGTAAAGGTATACAAACTTGGATAAAGTTGGTTAAGTGGCTAGGTGAGAAACAGAGTGAATGAACCTGCTGTAGAAATAGAAAAAAAATGAAGAAATTCTTACATTAGTAAAACTGGTGATTAATATTAGATGATGCACAAGCTATGAAATTAATATGATGGAAACCTGGATACTTTTATGGCAAATTTGGAACTTGTAATGATCTTTGCACAGCCACATCGTCAAGTGATAGATTATATTTTTCAAAAGTTTTATTTGCACTACCTACTTTATTATGGTGCAGCTCAAATAAGGCCTCAGACCTGTCCTGAATTATATATCTCTTTAACTTGCATGCCACAGAATCTTACATATTCTTTCACCAGTAGCAGCCGTAGCGGCATTACTGGAAGTGACAAGAAGATGTCTACACCAACGCATAATGCCAATTTCCTGCAGCATGTTTACATGCACTAAAGGCATATAAAACTAAAAATAAATAAGGTGATGACTAGAAGCTCCTTTTCCATGAAAAATAAAGAAGTTGAAAGGTAACTATTAGTATCTTAGAGGAGGGCAAAAGCAAATTGAGGGGTGTATCTTCAGCAAATTTCCTTTTAATAAATGGGTATTTTGCAATTATTGACAGCCAGAATGATAATCATTTTATGGTCAGAAAATTCTCCCATGGCAGCAACTGTGTGAACTCATAAAATGCCCTCTGGCCTAAAAATGTTGTCTACCCTTTACTTATTTATTTGAACTTTCTGTCTTATAGCCAAACAGTAGTTATAAAATGTTACAGAAACATTCTGGATTAAGGAAAAGAATAATGAGAGTTTGTGCATCTTTAGTCAAAAAAGCCATTCAAGGAGAAATATTTTCAGTTTTAAAATATTTTCTGTCTAGCACGTTACTAATTGTCAGGCAAAATAGCTGATGAAGCAAGAAAATGTGGAAGACTTAAAGCCATTAGAGACTACATTCAGAAAGACCAATTTTGAAGAATTTATAGGAAGAGTCAGGCTGCTTAGCATTTTCCCAAATTCAGTCCTTTATAAAATGAAATGCAGCAATGGAAGAGTTCAAGAGGAAAAGTTGCAGGCAGGTTTATTACTGTATGTTCTTCACCTGACTTTGTCCAGCCTAGGCAGATAGCCCAATTGCATTGATTCCGTGTACTATAAGATCAAACCAGCATTTAGATTCTTTTAGTCTAATGCACTTTCTGTCGACCTTAGTAACTTTAAGATGTGCAGTATGCTGGCTGGAGAATTCTGGGAGTTGAAGTCCATACATCTTAAAGTTGCTGAGGTTGCTAAACATACTCTGATGCCTTCTTCATGAGGCTACATGTAAAGAAAGTTTAGAAATTCCAATTGATCCAGAATACCACAGTGAGAATATTAGTAGTCACTTATTGATTATTTCTGCCATACATGGTTACGGGTAGCTATTATTTGGTCAACAGGCTCACTGACCTTTTAGAGTCCAAATTCTTGATTCTGAACAATTACTCTCCATATAATACTTTGGTATTACTGTATGTTAGGAACATCTATTACACTTAACCGTACCTATCAGTGGAAATTTTATTTCATATAGAGTTAGTCTGGAGAAATTCAAACATTAAATAATTTGTTTAAAATGAAAAATCCTGCAAGATGGTTCAGTGCTCATAGCAAGTTGATATTCAGTCATACCACTATAGGAGATCATGCAATAGAACTGATTGTTCACATATTTGAATCCCACTACTGAACATACCTAATTGGGAAGACCGTGTTTTCTTAGTTTAAGCAATATATTTTGTTCAAATGTATGGTAATGTAGATAATACTATAATGACATTCTAAAGTCTATTAATTGACCAGATGGAAATTTGTGGTACTAATCAAGGATATGGAAACTAGGTATTTTATTTTACTGCTTTCCCTGGCTTCACATAAATTACACTTCACACATGTTGAATATCGCTATTGCTATTTAATATTTTGAATAAAGATTTGTCCTAATTCCAGATGAATTCCCATATCCACTTAATGCATTGATCATCATTATGGATGATCCTTAATAAATATGTATTCAATATTTTTACATATGCTTATAGTAGGCATACTATGCTTCACCTAATGATTTTGTAGGCAAGCATTTATAGGACAGAACATTTTGTGTCTTTGTTTCCAAATGTTTTCAGTTATTTAGTCTTCAAGAAAATGCCCACATTGACTTGGAGAAAGAGTTTAGTATCTGCTATAATAGTTACAGCATTGCAGAGAAACTGCTGAACCTAGAACAAGGCAACCATCATAGTCTTCTCTGCTAATCTTAAACTTTAACATCTCTGTTCATATTTCTTCCCAGTCCTCACAGCACACTGCCACTTACCTCCCTTGATTCTAAGCTGTGTTCAGGAATGGGAGACTTAATTATGATATTTACACTCACATTCACTAATTATATTTTAATTAATAGATATTATATGAATTGTATTAAATATTTGAGTCACTGGCAGACATTTTCTCTCTTTATATAATAACAATAGTGAGGTAGGAAAAAATAATATATGGTAATGTTTCCCAGCCTGCACATCTTCCAGATTTCTCAGCATATTGGCTGGGGGATTCTGAAGTTCACATCCCCAAAGATGGCTAGGTCGGGAAACCCAGATCTACAGCATTTATGCCATGCATTTGAGCTGTGTTGGCGTAATAGAATGCAGTATTACAGACAAACTCTATTCACTGCCAGGAGTTTGATTCTGACCGGCTCAAGGTTGACTCAGCCTTCCATCTTTCTGAGGTCGGTAAAATGAGGACTCAGATTGTTGGGGGCATTTTTAAACCACTCAAAGAGTGTGTAAAGCACTAGGGAGCAGTATGTAAGTCTAAAAAATGCTATTGCTATTGCTGTTACAAAGTTATGCCAACTGATTGCTGTTTCATGGGACCTACTTAGAAAAGGAACATTCAGGGAACTCATTGGTATCCTGGGCTAAAATGTATGATGTCCAGGCTTATTTCATTTGTGGCAGTTTCAATGGGATGGAAGAATTTCCATTCCAAACTTACCAGATAAATTGGCAATAATATAAAGACTTTGAATGAAACTGAAATTTAGTTAACTAGGATGCAGGACTACAAGTGTCTATTGTATTGTGCACTTAGCATAAAGAAGACTAATATTTGTAAAATGAAATATGTGCAACCTTAGTGCTACCCATGAAGATTGTGCAGATGTTAAGAGCATTTTTTTCACATAATTGCTCAATAGAGTTTTATCTTGAAAAGCAGATGCTTTCAGATGATTCTGAGAGCAAGAAGAGATAGCTTTGTTCTTGCCCCATTCCTGGGCTTTGAAGAGCAAATGGACTCCAGGAATTTTAGTAGAGAGATGAAAGAATAAGAAAAGTTAAAGAACTTATTTTCTTCTTGTCAGTCGAACTCTTGAAGGCATAGGACTCAGGCCAGAAATAAAAATAGTAAGCAGAAGATGGGGTAATTATGCCACTTATCCACTAAACAATGTATTTTCCAAGAATGCATTACACAAGACTGAATTATTTACAAGTGGGCAAGTCATGTCCCTACTGTTGCCAAGAAAACTACAGAGCTTGTCCAAGGGAATGTTACCTCTTGCTTGCATTAATACATATTCTTAAGTGTATCTGTTTCTGCATTTATACAATATGCATGGAGTTGGATGTGCCTCTGTGACTCATCTGATCATTGCATTTTTCACTACTTGAATTTCTGACCTGTTATAGCTATAGATAGCTTAAGTGGGGTGAGCAATGCAAGTTATGCTGATGGCCACTGATAGTGAAGTGGCCAATTAGGGAAAATCATGGGAGGACAATGTTACTGAAGCATCTAGTGAAGACATTTATATTATCTCCAGTTTCAGCATGCTTCAAAATATCAGTTGGTAGGGAACATGAATGTTACTATGTTCATGATCTGCATATGTACTTTCTGCAAGCATTGCTTGGAGATGATAGGAACAGAATCCTGGATTAAGTCAGCCTTTGCTCTTATGCAACAGGCACTCTCTGATGCACTTAATATAGTACTAGGATTAGAAAAAAAAACAGTTGTTTTCCCCCAGTAGTAAAGCTGGTATGATAAGACACTATTGCTTGTGATTCATTTACAGATCCTTGTAAAACTTGTTTGACTGCAGATGATAATAGGACAGAAGAAGTGACTGTATATATAAACAGTGATAGCTCAACATAGTTATCTATCCATTAAAAAAAAGGCTAGTCTCCAGCTTCAAAACCCATGAAAGGCAGTTTCTAGCCTCACCACCACCCATTCCTGAAGTAAGGTGAAGCCTAGTATTTCTCTTTTAACACAGCAAACCACAGATGCAAAAGGCTAACAAATGTGCTATATTCTTACATTGATCATACTTTTGCTCATACTTGCAAACACAAAGGAAAGTTAATATTTAGCAACTCTTCTGTCTTGCCCTCTGTT